GTCTCTGAGGTGCCAGAGGGGGGGGCCGCGGTGCCCGAGGAGACCCTCGGGGTGCGGCGCGTGCCCATCCGTGTCATGCCTCTGGTAGGCTGGCTACGGCTGGGGCTGTCTACCCTGGGGGGTGCGCAGGCAGGGTCCGGGGCCCTCCCGTGCGAACTCCGCGCTAACTCATGCGCCGGCAGAGAAGCGTGCCTGTTTGCGCAGCCTGTTTGCGCAGCTCCGGTCGCGTGGCTCCCTGGGGGCTGGGCGAAGTAGGGGCCTGGGCGGGGCTTGACCCGGCCCGGCTCCACTCAGCCGCCTCCTCCCGCACACACACTAAGGGATTAGCCCCCTCTCTCCACGGGCCCCGCTTACCCCGGCTGTGCAATCTTGATGAAAAAAGAGATGCAATCTTGAATTGCATCTCTTTTTTAAAAGAAAAATTCTTACTTTTAGGGACAGAGAGATTTCATGCAGTAAGAGAGGTAGAAAAGCCAACTTGTTGCAAATATGTGCAAGTATTCAGGCTTTGTTCTTTATGTCTTTTTTGTTTGGAAAGCCTCTCTTCAAAGACCAGAAATCCCTAGGGTATATGTGAGTTCACCCCTGCTCAGGATCTGGGCCAAAAACCATTGGAGCAGGATGTGTCTGCCATATAAGTGAATAGATGCCATGTGGTGATGACTGATGAGTGCTTTCAGGAAATGGTAAAACTGTGACTGGATTTCCTGAATAGGGGTTTTTAGAACCAAAATGGTGGTCCAGTCAATAACATAATGATGCTGGGTTGTGCCATTAATGGTCACTGGGCTGTCACTTTAATTGGGCCCTTTTAATATTTGCTTTGACACAACATTGTGCATTTAAATGGTTATTAAAATAAAATTTTCACTACGGCGTTTGGTAAATGCCCCTTCAAATGCTCTTTCAAAACATTCTTGGCTGCTTCAATTTGTCAGTGGGCCAATACGATGAATTATGACTGCCAAAGAAAAGATAAGTTCGGTAAAGAAATAGGTTTTTAAATATTACATAATTATATTATATTAAAATTATTACATTATATTGCATTTAAAATTATATCAAGTTCAATTGTCTGGCTGATCCTACTCCCATTGAAGTCATAAGAGTTTTTTCACTTTGTGCTGCATCAAAATGTTTGTGAGGCACCTGGATATTGTTTTGAGGGGCCAGGTATCTAGACAGACATTCAGAGTTACCATTTGAGTCCTATTGCAATAAATGCTGCACAACACACGAGTAGGCGCTGGCTTTGCCCCAAAGGCTTAAAAGTCAGTTAAAAGCAAGTAAATGTAACAAATAACTAGAAGGATGATAGGAGGAAGGACAAGAACACGAGTAGCAATAATTTGAGGTTACAGCTATTAACAGTGATGACAATATTGCTGTAGGGCAAGGCCAAACAAAAAGGGTCCTGAAAAGCAACACTTAGTCCTAGGTAAGAGAGATTTGATTCAAACCCAGCATATCAAAGAATTGTTTCATCCTGACAGTCACAGAGCAGCCTTAAATTTTTTTTGACCAGATTCTCCACACTTGTGCTTATAATCAGCTTGACTTGCTACAGTAGGATTGCTCCTATTGACTCATCATTGTCATTTTGTCATTAAACTTGTCCTGCTTATTCTTGGCTCAGAACTGAGTACTTTTAGGAGAGTTTGGCCATTATGTGTTTAGCTGCATATTGGGGTTGGACTGTTATTATGGCTAGGCAATATACAAGGTTTTTTTCTGGTGGTATCTTGTATTGGACCAACTGTATAGTTGGGAGAGATGTTAGACAAACTTTTGGCCACAAAGACTTGATGAAGGATCCAAAACTTTGTCTAACATCCCTCTCAACTGCACAGTTGGTCCAATAAAAATTATCACCAAAAAAAAAATCCTCCTTGTTTCTTGGGTTTACCCAAGCATGGAAAAACCCAGAATTTTTAAGTCATTATGAAAATTATCCAATTCCCTTTTCATACTTGGATAAGGTAGAAACAGTATTGCTTGAAAGGGTCAGACTGAGCCTGTGCATATTCTATAAAAAAGCAAGCGCACTTTGATTAGCTTGATAAACATTTGTTTGGGAAAATGTAGTGCTTGAAATGAATTGCAATAGACCACTGATTCTGAGCAAAATACCATTTTTATTACTCAGGTGACCATGCAAATAGGTACATTTTACTCAGGTGTGCAGTCCTAGGATGACATTTACTTATTTACACAAGAACTGCTGAAGGACTCTTGCTCATGGGAGAACATGTGGTGCCCATGGATGTTAATGGAACCTCTGTACAGGAGTGTCTATCTTAAACTCATGCAGAGCAGAGAGGGTTATGTGCTTACGCTGAGCAGACTAATGCAGAGAGAGCCATCATGCTTGGTGATGGGAAGAATGACTGGATCTGTGTCATACTTTTCCAAAAGACTGTACAAGGAAGGGAATCCATTAACATCCAGAAGTTACAGAAGCAGCTGGAGAGGGACTGTTTTCTTGCCAAGAGGACCATCCCTAGGTTGGGAGTGTGGACCCTACTTACCATCCTAAATATAAATGTGCAACATTTGTTTAGCTGTGTTTTGGAGAAGTAGTTTAATCACCCAGTTCTAAAAATATGGATTTGGTTGGGAAGTATTACCGTTTCTTCTCAGAATTTCTTTTTTTTTTAAATAATCCTACTGCATGTCAGAGGGATAAAACCCAGGCAAAAGGGACAAGGCAGTAAAATGTCTCATCTTTAAAGAGGTCATAAAAGTGTCCTTTTAGTTTGTCCTTCGGAACTGGGAGAGATTAACATAAATAAACTGCAACTAACAACCTTAGGACTTGAAAATTAAAAGAGCCAAGAATACGTGATCCCATGCTGTTACACAATTCATTTGGAAATGTTCTTTGACACTATTAATAACAAAAGAGAAGAACAAGCCCTGTAGTCAGGAAGAGATGGAGAACAGAACTTTGATTTCTGACCATAGATCAGAGGTTCAAGTGAAACCTAGTTTTAAATATAATAGATAACAGTAAACAATATTATTAACAATTAAGGCTGAGTTGAGTTGAAATGTGCAGATTAAGATTCCTTGTTTAAGATGCTTATTAACATAACTATCAATATAGTACTAACAGGGGACTAGAGAAACTGCAGGGTAAATCAGAATTAGAATTCAATGTTGGGGTGGAATTCAGACACAAGAATTAATCATCTTCTTACATTGATAAATAACTTTTAATGGTCAGCAATGGTGCTACTCAGTTGAAGCCAACAGGCCAACTTAATCACATTTCTAATGACACTGATGTGAAGAAAGTTGCACTTGGACTGAATTGACTTTTCATATTCAGTGTATCTGTACTGCTGCATAAATGAAGCTTGATCAGGTGATTTTCAATCCTTTTCTCTTCTTTCAGGTAGTGGAAAAAAATGTTGACCCAGAAACAACTCTATTAATCTACCTACGAAGAAAATGTATCCCATGTCAAGGACAGTATGTGATTTCAAGTGGTTATGGCATTTCATAGTTGTTTACTATTTCTGTCCATCTCTCAACTGCTAGCCAGAACCCACATCTGGAAATAAGTTGTATGTGTGGGGCTGGTATTTTTTGAAGTGTGCAGACTACATCAACAACTGCAAGCCAAGCAACATTAAACCAGACTACTACATGGAAGGGAGTTTTTGCAACTGCTCTAGTAATTATTAGCAATTCATACATGTAGATCTGGCAAAACTCAGTGAGTTAGCAGGGGGTGATGACTTAGAAAGAGTCAGCTGCTCCTCAGTAACTCTTTGTGTATCTGCACTTACTCCTTCATAAGTGATAAGTAAACCATGGTAATTCACCCCTCAATCAAATGGCAAAATTGCAGGGGGGGGTTTGCGAAGAAGAGTGGGCATATGGACTGTTACCACAGAGCAGCTCTTGCATGGCAAGTTTCCAGTCGCTGTAATTTGTATATTTGCCTATACCCTAGTATGGATAGAGAATCTTACTAAATACAGAGACATTGAATTGAGAGAGAAGTTCATTTTTGATCACATAAACTAAATAGCATTTTCCTGGCCAATATGAAATGAGGCTGTTTCCATTTCTATTTCAGCACACTAAAGCTGCTAGTGCTTTTGGTTATGCCATCTATTGGCTAAGTTGGGCCTTTAAACATAGGTGTCCTGTATACTTCTCGTGAAGATAGAAAGATGGAGAGAAGCAAGACCTGAGGCAAAGATCCTCTGCACAGAACTGGTATCTCCTTAAAAAAGGTGTAGTGTCCACTTACCTCTTGGTTGTTGCCACATTCTAGCAGGTGCCCAGGGGATAAGGGAGAACAGAGAATATTGATGCAGTACTTCCATGGATGCATCTTAGATGCACAGGCAATGGGGGCAAGAGGGAGGGATTGTGCTCTACCCTCTTTCTGTCCCTTCGCACCCCTTTCAACATTTGTTCCTATGAATCTGAGCTTGTTAATGTCTAAAAATGATTAAACGTGAGAAAATCAAAGCCCCTGTTGAAAAGCCCCAAAGTTACAGAAGGTCTACAGCAAAGAATACTGGGGCCTTCAGGAGCTTCTCACCTACATACTATTTAAATGGATTAGCATTACTGGCAGTGAAAATCCTTAGATTAGGCCCCAGTAGAGCTTCCTGAACAAGCTGCATTTGATGAAGCAGACACATGATGGTATGGAAATAATCAGTTTCAGAATAATTCCAGCTTCAGAATAATAACATCAATGATGGTATTGTTAAAGGGCCTAAATTCACTCCCATTGAAATAATGACTTCCATTGCTTTCAACAGTGGAGGAGGCAGGCCTAAATTGATTATCTCAGCATAGTCATGTGTCTGCTGCCATTCACTAAAAACCAATTCCAGCTCACCCTCTGCTCTAGCTGAACCTCTTCATTATAAACAGCATTCATTATAAAAAAAACCAAACCATAACAAAACAAAACATAAAAAAAATCCCAGATACTGCTTTTTAATCTCTAATAGCTGATGTTTTCATAGTGACTTCAGCTTGGCTTCGGTCTTGCCCCTGGTAAAGTGAGATGGTTTATGGGTAACATAAAAAGCCATAAAACATTTCTAGGCTTCTGTGGGCATTTTTCCCAGGTGGAAGCTGAAGATTTGATCCTGCAAATGCTGTTGCTGCAAGAGAAAGTCCTG